CACACATAATTGTACCCTCGTCCTGTTGGCATAGCAACGGCAATCATCCGTCTGCAGCGTCATCCTGCGAAGCATTCTGATTGGTCGACGGGGATAAATGACGATTACCTGAAAAACAGAGACGAGACGAAAGTAATCGGATCAACCAAAACCAACAAGAAACACTTTGACAGCCACACGTTTATCTTTTAAAACTGGATTTCATTTTCTATGTATGGAAGACGAAGAGGGCCAATCAAAAGGAAGCAATGCATTTCAAGGGTAAAGTCAAAAAGGCAAGATAATTTAGGCCTAGTTTTAGGATTTTGAGCAAAAAAGGTGAATCTAAAAAGGAAGTAAATACATTGAAAAATAAAGTCAATAATATCAAGAACAAACTTTAAAAATATGTTAAAAATAAAGTAAAAAATGTTGAGAATAAACTCGAAATTATTAAGGCCTATTTTTGGCTTTAAAGTAAAGTAAACATGTTGAATGAACATTCTAAAATGTCGTAAATTAAGTTTTAATAAATGTTGAAAATAAGGTTGAAAAAAAGTGGAAATATAAAAAAATGAAATCAAACATTTTGAGAAAAAAAAAATCTTTAAAAACCTTGGGTTGAAAATTCTGGAGAATGCTCTATTTAGTTGTGAAGGGATGTTTAGGTTTGCAATACTAACTCCCTACTATGTGAACCAATCACACAGTCACCACGGCAACCACCGGTGGTTCCTTGGTAACCAGCCCTGAGCCAATCAGCCTGCTGCTCCGATGAAGAGAACCCCCTCTGAGCCAATCAGGATCAGACTCTTTTTCTTTGTATTAATACAGCGCCCCCTGCTGGTTTAATCACCTCACGATGAGAGACTGGCGGTGTTTAAAGGGACAGTTCGGCTTTAATGAAGTGGATTAAAGTCATGAGACATCCTTTCTTTGCATTTGTTTATTATTATTATAGGTAAATAAAGTAGTTGAATCTTTTCCCGTCTGTGTTTTGACGCAGCTTTTATTCTCTCTAAAGCCCTCGAAGCATGTTCTTTAGATCACTGTAGGCTTATCTGTTTCTCTCTCAGTGTTGATATGGATGTGTTTCTCTCTCAGTGTTCGTACGTGCCTCCGTGTGAACGAGACAACCAGAAGAACCGAGACAGCGTCCTGTGGTGGGAGGACTACTTCAGCCGGGAGGTGAGCAGCCAGGTCTTCACCTGCTTCTTCAACCAGCAGCGCAGGTGAGGAACAGACAGGAACACACAGGAGCACACAGGAACTCACAGGAACACACAGGAACACACGGGAACACACGGGAACACACGGGAACACACGGGAACACACGGGAACACACGGGAACACACGGGAACACACAGGAACACACGGGAACACACGGGAACACACGGGAACACACGGGAACTCACAGGAACTCACAGGAACACACAGGAACACACAGGAACACACAGGAACACACAGGAACTCACAGGAACACACAGAAACTCACAGGAACACACATGAACACACAGGAGCACACAGGAACTCACAGGAACACACATGAACACACGGGAACACACGGGAACACACGGGAACACACGGGAACACACGGGAACACACGGGAACTCACGGGAACACACGGGAACACACGGGAACTCACGGGAGCACACGGGAACTCACGGGAACTCACGGGAACACACGGGAACACACGGGAACACACGGGAGCACACGGGAACTCACGGGAACACACGGGAGCACACGGGAACACACAGGAACACACAGGAACACACAGGAACACACAAGAACACACAGGAACTCACAGGAACACACAGGAACACACAGGAACACATGTACAGGTGTGATGCAGAGGAAATGGAGACAGGGGGAGGTGTGAGATTACCTGTCAGACGTTTGACCTCATCTGAAGTGAGTGGAAGTCAGTTTAATAGTCCATAGAGGTGTATTTTTAGACTTGTTGGGACTTATTGTAGTTGTTTTGTACGTTTTCATAGTCATTTTTTCTTTATTTGTAATTTTGAGTCTCTTATAATCATTTCGTATCTTTTCGTAGTCTATTTGTGTCTTTTTATGTAATTTTGAATTTTGTGTCAATTATGTAATTTTGAGACTCTTTTTAGTCCTTTTGTGAGTTTTCTTAGTAATTTTGAATCTCATTTATTCATTTTGTGTCTCTGACATTTCTCACCAATCTGTCTCGGATACCAGCGACAGTAATGTTCTTCTTTAGCTAATATTGCTATGCTAGCAGAAGAGTTGAGCATCTAATAAAGAGAAAAACCCATTTCCAGGTGTGATTCAGAGGAGATGGAAACAGAGGGATGTGTGAGATTACATTTAAGGCCTTTGACCTCAACGAAATGACTCTTATTGTCAATTTAAAAGTCGATATAGGTCCAATGTTAGACCATCTGTATGGATATTGTAGTGTTTCTGCTGCAAAGTACCACTAAAGTGTCCCATTTAGTAGTCAGGACATGCCTGGAGTATATTGAGATCACCCAAATAACGCAGTCATATAAAACAGCAGGTCTTTTAATGTTTAAACCAACAGTCGTAGCTTATCTTGTGGTTGTGTTTAGCTTATGTTCGCTCCTATTTACAGGGACTGAATACAAAAACAGAAAGATCTCCTTTAGGGTTTGTCAGCGTAATTCAGCCGGTGTTTCCCTGTGACCTCTCTGCACCTCGAGGACCAGCGTGAGGAAACGCTGCTTCATAAATAAGGAGCTGCAGAGTTTAAAATATGTTTTATAGGAAGAAGAAGAACTGGAGCACTCAAAGATGGAGAGAAGTCACTTGATCTATTGGTTTATATCCTAAGTGTATGAGGTTATATCCCCACATCTCCGAACGCAGATCTGTAGTTTCAGTGTCACACGACTTGGTTTCTACTGGGTAAACTTTATATGGACTTATTTCTGTCTACACTTTCTTGAATGATGATCATAATCATAATTTAATCCTAAATCAAAGACGTCGAGCTTGTCCTTCGAAAACAATGAGATATTTCTCTCTAAAAGTTGAAAGTGCAGATAAAAACTCTAGTTAGTAACGGTTTCCTCCGTTAGCTAATATCCTAATGCTAGTGTCTTAGTAATGCTAATGCTATCGTTGCACCCTGTAAGATATTTGTAGGACTGCCAGTAGATGAACTTCAATAATATAATGTTAGCTTTATGCCCCATTAGCTTATGGTTATTATTAGCATTGCAAATAGTCAGAAAGTTAATATTTTAGGAATCAGAATCAGAATAACTTTATCCGTCCCACAGAGGGAACATTTGCATTTACAGTTACAGTTTGTCAACAGGATTACGGAAAAACTACTATCCTGATTTTCATTACATTTGGTGGAAGTGTTTAGCATGAGCTGAGGAAAAACCCATAAGAATTTGGAAGAGAAACGCCCAAGCAAACAACTCACTGTCTGTGTTACCAAAAGAGAAACAAAATTAACCAAACAGTGACACAGAATTACGTCTTATCTTCTTCTTCTTGTGTTTCTCAGGCCGGACGACGTGTTGTGGCGGCGTTCCCACGACACCAGCGTGCTGCTGCACTGCGTCCTGTGGCCGATGGTTTCTCTTCTGCTCGGCACGCTCATCGTGCTCCTGACCGTCTGTGCTCGATCCCTCGCCGTCCGGGCCGAGGCGCTCCAGAAGAGGAAGTTCTCCTACGAGGTCTGCCAGGATCTCTCGGCCTCCGGGTCCTCGGAGCGCCGTGGACACAAAGCCGAAGACCCGCTAACGAACTCTGACCCCGAAACGTCTTCTTCTCCGACTCGAACCCTGCCTCTGTTCGCTGTTCCGGTGCGACGTCGAGATCGGGAACACTGAGACAAAAAATGGGAAGTTTGTTTTGAATTTAAATCAGGATGCTTAGTTGTAAAGCCGGTGGGCGAAGACAGCTAACGTGCTAACGACGACGCTAACTTATCATGGGTTGAAACCAAGAAATCTGAGAAGAGGAAGATGATGGGAAAACCAGCAGAAGATGTTCCTCTGGATTTAAGATGCTGTTGAGTTCTGTGATGTAATCAGCATTTGTTATCCGCTTACTGTGCTGTACCCTGAGGGTTTAGGACTCACGCCTGCAGTCTCGTTGTTGCTCTGATGGTACGATGAATTTAATGTCAGGAAAAGTGACTTTAATGTAGCGCTTCTATAAATGTAGTTTTCCCTTCGAGTCCCAGTAGCCATAATGTAAATAAATAGCGAGCCAAAGTCCTGACGTCCTGTAACTGTAAGAAGTAGAGCTGCAACCACAGACCAGTAATACACAACTATAATGTCATTTAATGCAAAAATGTCCAGAAATGCCACTCGTATATGAAGACATGGAGTTATATATCATCACAGACACAACAAGACATTTAGAAACCTAATACTGGACTTTGAGAAACTAGGATGGATGTTTTTTTTTACAATTTCTCACGTTTTCTGGAAAGATATTTGGCAGAATATTAAATTATTGTTAGTTGCAGCTCTACTTTAAAGACTCAATGCAATCTTTCATCAAGGGTTTCTTCCATCAGTCTTTCTTGGAGAACGTACTTTGTTTAATTTATTATGTGTTTTATTCATTTGTGAGGGGACCCCGCTACCTTTTCCATCTTTTCCATCTTTTCCAACACAAAAGCAAGTATTATTTTCTCATTCGCCGTTTTTTTTGCTTATAATTTGCTGATTTTTTATCACATGTTTATTTGTTTTGCAGAACGACTAACGGTATCATTAATTCATGAATAATATAACTAAAAAGTCGCTTCCTCAGCTACAGTAATGTCTCAAATTAATGAGATTAAAACACTCATATTTCACACAGAAAAAGTAACAATTATTTTAAGAAATACTTCAAAAAGTACCAAAAATGTGGCTAAAAATACTTTAAAGATTACTTAAAATTGCAGGTAAAAATACTAAGATTCAAAGTAAACATACATTAAAAAGTACCTTAAGTTTGCAGGTAAAAAGTACCCTCGATCTTACACTGTTACTTTTCAGTTCTGCATTTAGATAAAAGAGGAAAAGGGAAATTAAATGAATTGAACTTTATAATCTATGAGACTCCTGCTGCTCTTCTTGAGAAACCACAGGACCTTCAACCTGCAGCGCAGCGGACACAGAGCAAATGTTACAGATACAAAACGCTAAATAAAACAATTAATATATTCAGGTTTACGATGCAGTATATCTAAAAGTATATTTTAAAGAGCTTTGCAGACTTATAGTGGTGCAAACATGTGCAACAGTCCAGAAGAATTTGATTTTCAGTCATTTCTCTGCTTTGTTAGTTCAAATATAACCAACAAACATATTATAGCATCTCCCAAATGTGCAAATGGATCCATTACCAGTAGATTAAAGGAAAATAAATGGTAGTATTGTGCAGAAATAACCAAAGGAAGGTGCAAAACTTCACACTAAATCATTGTATTTTCTTTATTGCACCTCGTGTGTTACTAAAAGTGAATCAGGGTTTACTAAACGTGCATTAACAAACCCTTGTTAGCATCTCCCAGATTTGCAAATAGATCCATAACCAGTAGATTATAGGGACAACATGTTTTATTATTGTCCAAAAATGGTGCAAAATTGCCAGAATAAGTCATATATGCAGAAATAACCAGAGGAAGGTGCACAACTAAACGTGCATTAACAAACCACCAACCCTTGTGAGCATCTCCTTGCAGATCCACAGCTAGGAGATGATAGAAACCAAAGAGGTAGAAAAGGCCGTTCTCTTTGATAAATAATATGATATCCTGTTGTAACTTTTCAAAGGCTGACAGTAAATTACCTCTCTGCCACGCAGCGGTGTTAACAATAGATGTGATATCGTGATTCATCCTCTATCAGAGGGAGTTTTTCATCCTCACGTCTCAAAAATCTTCTCACCACCACCGCCGCCGTCCTGCAGGCTAAAAATTACCCAACGTCGCCTAGCAACAGACACAAGGCCGAGTGTTGTCGCTGCCAAAAAAATACAAATAAATAAACAAAAAACATATTTCTCCTCCTCAGGATCAGATCAGTTATCTGTGTTACTCCTGGTGAACTGACCGTGCTTCTGCAGCGCATATTTGAGTATCTGTCACATATGTTATGCTCGTTTTTTACACATTTCAGTGAACAAAAACAAATGATTTGATGTCTTCTTTGATTTTCTAAACCAAAAGCCATAATATGTAGACACAGGGTGTTGAAGCTGAATTATTCTTAGTATTTTTAATAATTTTTCTATTGGATTTGTGGAACCCTTATATACATTTCTATCTTTAAAAATAATATTTTTCATTTACACAAAACTGAACTGATAAATTAAAGAATTATGAAATGTAATAAAAACATTGGGCTGAAATATTTATTCCTCAGGTAGTTACAGTTGAATTATTTGTAGTATTTTTACTAATTTTCCTATCATATTTATGGACATATTTTCATGTTTAAAAAATGTTTTAAATCCACATAAAAACTGTATTTTAATTCATAAGAAAACATCTAAAAGGCATGGAAATGATGTGTTTTTCCTGAGGCATAATGGACAGAAAAAGGGTTGAATTATTCTTAGTTTTACTCTATTTTTACTATTAGATTTTGGCAACACTTCCAAAGATCTTTGTATTTAAATTAATGATTTCATGTTCTAATGTTTACTCATATTTACAATAGTTTTTCACCCATTCTTATAAAGACAAACCGATAAATCAACTTAAAATAAAGGTACAAATTAAATATGATGTGACTGCTATGGGAAGCAAAACACAGAAACAAAAACTAATTATTTTTAGGTAATACAAATATATTTTCCTGCTTTGTTTTTTGGCATCAAATCATAATATCTTTGTTAAAAAACATAATTTTGTCCATTTTTATTTCCTGATTTCCCCGTATTGATTCTCCAAAGAAAGCGTAGCTCCTCCTGTAGCATCTCTGTGTTTCTACGAGCCGTACGCTAAACTGTGAACACTGTCCGTCGCTTCTTTATCACGAAAACAGCAAATTATATTCTTACAGATGTTTGTATTTAATGAGATTTTCTCCTGATTGATTTGTGTTTAATTGTAAACTGATTTATGAAATGTATGAACTTTAAATATTTAATTTGCTGTGTTAATATTAAGACTCCTCTTTTCTTCTATGTGTTGTCCTGTTGAGTCGTCCGTCCTCTGTGTGACCCGGGTAGCTCCGTGTGACCCGGGTAGCTCCGTGTGACCCGGGTAGCTCTGTGTGACCCGGGTAGCTCCGTGTGACCCGGGTAGCTCCATGTGACCCAGGTAGCTCCATGTGACCCGGGTAGCTCCGTGTGACCCAGGTAGCTCCATGTGACCCAGGTAGCTCCATGTGACCCGGGTAGCTCCGTGTGACCCAGGTAGCTCCATGTGACCAAGGTAGCTCCATGTGACCCGGGTAGCTCCGTGTGACCCGGGTAGCTCCGTGTGACCCGGGGTAGCTCCGTGTGACCCAGGTAGCTCCGTGTGACCCGGGTAGCTCCGTGTGACCCGGGTAGCTCCGTGTGACCCGGGTAGCTCCATGTGACCCAGGTAGCTCCGTGTGACCCGGGTAGCTCCGTGTGACCCAGGTAGCTCCATGTGACCCAGGTAGCTCCATGTGACCCGGGTAGCTCCATGTGACCCAGGTAGCTCTGTGTGACCCGGGTAGCTCCATGTGACCAAGGTAGCTCCATGTGACCCAGGTAGCTCCGTGTGACCCGGGTAGCTCCGTGTGACCCGGGTAGCTCCGTGTGACCCAGGTAGCTCCGTGTGACCCAGGTAGCTCCGTGTGACCCGGGTAGCTCCGTGTGACCCGGGTAGCTCCGTGTGACCCGGGTAGCTCCGTGTGACCCGGGTAGCTCCGTGTGACCCGGGTAGCTCCATGTGACCCATGTGACCCAGGTAGCTCCATGTGACCCATGTGACCCAGGTAGCTCCATGTGACCCATGTGACCCAGGTAGCTCCATGTGACCCGGGTAGCTCCATGTGACCCAGGTAGCTCCATGTGACCCATGTGACCCAGGTAGCTCCATGTGACCCATGTGACCCAGGTAGCTCCATGTGACCCAGGTAGCTCCATGTGACCCAGGTAGCTCCATGTGACCCAGGTACCTCCATGTGACCCAGGTAGCTCCGTGTGACCCATGTGACCCAGGTAGCTCCATGTGACCCATGTGACCCAGGTAGCTCCATGTGACCCAGGTAGCTCCGTGTGACCCAGGTAGCTCCGTGTGACCCAGGTAGCTCCGTGTGACCCAGGTAGCTCCGTGTGACCCAGGTAGCTCCGTGTGACCCAGGTAGCTCCGTGTGACCCAGGTAGCTCCATGTGACCCAGGTAGCTCCGTGTGACCCATGTGACCCAGGTAGCTCCGTGTGACCCATGTGACCCAGGTAGCTCCATGTGACCCAGGTAGCTCCATGTTTTAATAAACAGATGATAACTATAGTGCCTGATATATTTAGAGATATTTAAATAAAAACACATTTTATCTTCAAACGGAGTCGCTTATAATTATTAAGCTTACATGTTCACAGTTATTCATGTATTGATTTTAACATGTATTTATATATAGATATTAATTTTAGTATATGACTTGAGAGCAAGTGGAAAACAACTTTAAAAAAAAGATGAAATAATTAAAAACAATTGTTAATAATCAAGTAAAGCAAAAAAGCCAAGGGTTAAAAATATATAAAATAAAATAATTAAAATATAAAAGAATATTGTTAAAAATAATTTTTGTTTACAGGTGATTATAAGAATAAAAAATACTTAAATAAATAAGAAAAATTCATAAATTAACGTGAATTCTTTTTAAAATAACATTATTTTTCAATAATCAAATATAATAATATTTAAGAATTTAATAAAAAAGTCAATTCATTTGTTTAAGTTATTCACCTTTTGTGAAACAGGTGGAAAAAAGTTTCGGCAGGTGATTTTTCTTTCTTTTTAAGGACAATCTTTCTAGCTGTGTTATTGTATACCTCGTCAACAAGAGGCCACATGTTACAGATTTACTATACTTCTGTGTTTGTATATATATATTAGGGTGGTCCTTCAAATTGAAAGTTGGAAAGACAGTTTTCTTGACTAATAGAATGAATTCTGGGGGTTGGAGTTTAGACTTCCGACTTTCAATTTGAAGGACCACCCTACGTGAGGCTAAACTTCAAGGTTGATGAGGGAGGGGTAAATGTTGTTAGAATTTGAATCAAATTCACCAGGAGAGTTTTCTTGACTATCATAACGAATTCCAGTGGTTGGAGCTTAAAATAAATGAATTAGAAAATGTGCATAGCACTAAGGACCACCCTAATATATATATTTATATTTTGGTATTCTAAATGGATAGACTGCAGCATATACAGAAATAAAAGAATAATCATAGACCCATCGAGTAAAAACATGGCAAAGTCTGGAAACAGTGAAGAACAGATGGGAGCAAAGGATTAAAAAGGTCAAAAGAGACAGATATTATTATAATAAATATATTACAGTGAAGTGGGTTTGTTTGGATGTGAGTGTGTCCTTTTGTCTGTCCTCACACACA